CAAACGTAAGTGTCTAAATCAATACCCCTTAATCTGCCATTGCAAGTCTGCTCCTCATTAAGCCTTCTTCAGCTCCTCATCTTTCTTTGGAATTGCTAAGAGCCCACATCCTTGGCCTTAGGGAGTCCACTTGACTTTACCTCAGAATATATTCAGAATACTGTGTGGTATTGGGCTGCTAACCACAAGGTCAGCTGTTCGAAGCTACCATCTGCTCCTTGGAAGAAAGACATGGCTTTCTATTCCCATAATGAGTTAGTCTCGGAAACCCACAGGGACACCCACCTTGTCTTACAGGGTCGCTGTGAGTCTGCATGGACTCGATAGCAGTGAGTTTCCTACAAAGCTTCATGATTTCACTGTTTCCACTACTGTTGTCCTGTTAGTGAGCGGTTGTCTTCTCTCCTCCCTGGTCTCCTGCTTCCATTTCCAGCTCCTACATCCCTGTGACTACCTTCCTTAGCACAGCAACAGTACGGAGCCTATAAGGAAAAAAAGGAAGTCAGATTGCATCATCGTCCTGCGGAAGCTCTGCATTAGCCCCCATTTCCCAGTTAAGCCAGAGTTTTTACCATAGCTGGCTGAAGTAGGTGGCTCTTTACATGGGTCTCTGCTGCTTCTCTGACCACTCTTTCAGCTCGCCCATTCTAGTGCAGCCTCTCTGTTGTCCGTTGTTCTCCCTTGAAAGAATAATAAGGCCTGGTCCTCTGGTTGGGATCTTAAAGGAATAATGTATATAAAGGACTTTTTGTAGTATGTCGAATAGACAGTGCACACAATAATCAATAGAAGAAACATTTTTGTTAATTATCTTAGACCCTTTTATTGCTGTTAGATCACAAAATAATAATACCAAGTACTTAAATACTACTTACTTTACCAGATCAGACTGACTTTACCAGGACTTACTTTATGGACCAGACTTTATTTCAAATGCATTTTAAATGCTGACTCATTTCACAACGTATACACGATTTCCCAAAGTGGGTGATGCCAACCCCAGGGGATACTGGACTGAGCTAGTAGGACTGCAGAAGCAGATACCTATACTTTATCTTGGATTATTGGCTATGGTTAAAAAAAAATTAAAAAAACAAAAAAGATTTTAATTGCCAGAGGGACACTGTCTTTTTTTTTCTCTGAAAAGGGAGCTGGTAGTAAGCCAGATACATATGGGAACCGATGTAAGTTGTATAAAACCCATTGACGTTGCTAAAATGGCATGGAAGGAGGCCATATGTGATTTCCTCTGGCTTCCCTATTTCCAGGAGGCAGGGGTCAGACATGCTGTCACTCTCCATTCTTTACCCTATTCAGACACCAGTATTTCTCTCTATGGCAATCTGCTTCTCAGCTGGGTTTGAAAATTCATTGCAGTGGCCACACGGTTCTCTCAGACAAAACTCAAAGATTAACATTTGCTAGGGAAGCCAATCGCTTACCTCAAGTCAGGATCAGTAAAAGTAAGACTGTAGTTACTGGTCCACAGCAATACCTCTCCTCAGACAACAGCCAAAGGTCTCTCTAGTCCTTAGTCTCTCAGCCAGTTGGTCTTCTGGCTCTGCCTCTATGGTCCAGGAGCCCACTTGTGGCTCTGCCACATAGTTCCTTAGTCTTGCCGTGGTTCATCAATTCTCTCTCCTGGTTTCCTTGCCATGGTGCCTGGTCTCAGCCTCGCCCTTTTGTCCTATAGCCTTGTGCCACCATCTCCAGCAGCACCTCTGAGCTCAGCTTCTACCACTGCCGATGGAGATCTGGAATGTGCTCTTCTTCCACAGCTCCTGCTCCTTCTCGCTCTCTCTGAAGGGATCACATTCCCAGAAACATGTCTTTTCGCAGACCACACCCAGAGGAAACAAAGGGTGTGAGATGGTTCGGTTCTACTCAGGTCAGAACTTGTTAGGTGGTGGAGGTTAGGTGATGGGGAGTGGGTTCTGACTCATCGCAGCCTTATGCACAACAGAACAAAACACGGTCCCGTCTGGTGCCAGCCTCGCCATTGTTTTTATGTTTCAGTCCATGGATGCAGCCACTGTGTCAATCCATCCTCTTGAAGGTCTCTTCCTCTTTTTGTCGCCCCGTGAACTTTTCCAAGGACGATGTCCTTCTCCAAGGACTGGTGTCTCTGGACAACATGTCCAAAGTATGTGAGGTAAAGTCTCACCATCCTTGCCTCCAAAGAGCATTCTGGCTGAACTTCTATCAAGAGACATCTGTTTGTTCTTTTGGCCCTCCATGGTACTTTCAGTATTCTTCGCCAGCACAGTAATTCAAATGTATTGATTCATCCTTGGTCTTCCTTATTAAAGATCCAATGTTCACATGCACATGAGGCAATTGAAGATACCACGGCTGTGTCAGGCGCACATTAGTCTTCAAAAAGGAATTGGTTACAGGACCATCAGATAACATTATGATAAATGGAGAAATGATTGCAATTGTCAAAGATTTTCCCCTGCTTGGATCCACAATCAATCCTCATGGAAGTAGTAGTTGAGATCAAAGGAATGCATTGCATTGGGTAAATCTGCTTCATGAGCCCTCTTAAAGTGTTGAAAAGTAAGCAGGTTACTTTTAGGACTAAGGTCAGGACTTAATCCTGCCCATTCGTATAACAGAATAAACCAAAATCAAATCATTGCCATCACGTCGATTGCAATTCATAGTGACCCTATAGGACAGGGTAGAACTGCCCCTGGGGGGTTCTGAGACTAAGACTGTTTTTTTGAGACTAACTCTTTGCGGGAGTAGAAAGCCTCATCTTTCTCCAGCCAGAGTGGCTGGGGTTTTGAACTGCCAACCTAGCAATTAGCAACAGGTATCAAGTTCAGAATTATAGAGGTGTAGGGACTATTATTTTCCCTGGTTTATAAGGAAAAAAGAAGAAGCCGAGCTTAAGCACCTCAAATTTGAACTGCTCGTATGTGCGAAGCCTCCGTTTGAAACCAGACTGGTTGCCGTCCGCATGAGCGCTTGTGTCCACTGTATAGTGTGATACTATCTGCCACTGTGCATTATTTTAAAACAGCGGTGTCTTTTTAATTTCATCTGCCAACACCGGCCGTTTGTTATCTCACCCTCTAACTCTGCTTCCAGTTAATTCTTATCCCAAATCTTATTTTCAATTTGGTCATTCTACACATAAAAATATTATGTTTTATTTACTATTTTAAAAAAGAGTTCTTTAAAATGTATTCCATGCAATGCATCTTATTCTTCCATAGTAAATGAACTGTCAGCTCTCATAGAGGATGGACGCACTCAAGTTCTTTTAGCAAAAATTTTTAGCGAGCTGGAAAGACGTGATGAAGCACTTACCTCGTTACAGCAGGTAATTACATTTGTTTGTGAATGTGAGTGTAACACACGAGATGGGGGGGATGGAAGGGTCACAACGAATATGCCACATGTCATTTGTTTGCTTTTGATCGACTTGTTTAAATTGCTATTATGAGAGTTATATTGAAATGCTTCGCTGTGATTGCGGATTTGCCTTTACTCCATCAGTCTTGTTTAATTAATTTTGTTCTATTTATTTAGAAGCTATATTTTTGGATCCACTCAGCTTTAGAATTGTGACATCTTACCAGAGAATGAACTAGCCCCTCTGTAATTATAAAACGGCCTCCTTTATTTCTAGTAATGCTTCTTCCTGTAAAACCTCCTTTGTCTGATATTAAAATAACAACTTCAGTTTTCTTTTGGTTGGTGTTTTCATGATACATTTTTTTTTTATCTGTATACTTTCAACCTTTCTGTGCCCTTATTACCTTAAAGATCTTTCTTAAATAATCAAGATATAATTGTGTGGGTTTTTAAAAAAGTTTTTATCTATTATGATTATCTAAATTATTTTTGAATATTTTGTTGTTTATATCTAATATGATATGGATTATATTTTAGTGTATATCTGGCATGTTAACATTTTCTCATTTTCTGCTGAGTTATTTTTGCTTTTGATTTTGTACCTTCCCAAGAAAGAACCAGCCTGGTGAGTGGTATTGATTTGGGATGTTTTATTAGGACACTCTCCAGAAAGGTGGTTATTGTTGTTGGGGGTGCCAGCATGTTTATTCTAATGCACAGTGAGCGACCCCTGGTGACAGGGGCAGACTGCTGTGCAGGCTCTCCCGGCCTTTCCCAAAGCAGGTGATGAGGTCCGTTTTCTGCTGACGCATTGAGTGGGTTTCCTCACCTGGCGTCGTTACAGCAGCAGGTGATGATGCCTTTCTGCTGCGGAAACACTGTAGGAGTTCAAACCACCAGCCTTTGACTGAACAGTTAAGCTTATGACTGTTTGTGGTGCTGGGATCTTATTCCAGAAGATTGAACTAGTACTCATATGCCATCAACAATATATGAATGTGCTTCTTCCCAGAAATGGGTCAAAATTAGGTTTCATCATTTTTATCTAGTTACAGTATTTTTAAAAATCTTGCTAGTGTAATGCTTTAACCTTTTTACTTATTGAATCACAGCGTGTAAGTCTTTTTTCCAACTATTTGTTTCATGGGTGTAATGCCCTTTCCGTGAGATGCCTGTGCATTTTCTTGTCTCCCAGGAATGGGGGGTGGGACTGGGAACTAACCCTGCAGTCATCACTTTCGTGCTGGTAGTTCACTGTTTACGTGCTTGGCTGGCAGCTTAACCCTGCCGGCCACTTCTCAGGAGAAGGTGTGACATTCTGCTTCCATAGAGATCCTGGTCCTGGAAACCTTATGGGGCAGTCTGTCTCTGTCCTGCAGGGTCCCTGCGCTGGAATTGATGTGATGGCAATTGTTTGTTTTGTTTGCCTGTCTGTTTCATATGGAAATATGTGCTCTTTTTTTTTTGCTTTTCTTTGGCAATAAGTGTATATTTTAGAGCTCAAGAGGAGGTTTTCTCTCCACCTGACTTTGTGAGGTCAAGGATCAATGGTACTACTTAGATAAATCCTAAGTCAAATGATTCTAGCTATGAGTTATCAAGACTGTAAAGTCTGTCATCTTTATTTTCGCTTCTCTTTACTCTTCCTCTTTTTCCTAGGCTCTTGAGCTGCAGGCTAGAATACTGAAGCGTGTTCAGATGGAGAAGCCAGATGCGGTTCCTGCGCAGAAACAATTCGCTGCTGACATTTGTTCAGAGATTGCAGCACATTTGGTTGCTCAGCGAGACTATGAGAAAGCAATTAAGTTTTATAGAGAAGCTCTTGTTTATTGTGAAACAGATAATAAGGTCAGTACCGTTGCACCAAAGTACATACCTTTCGTTCCAAATGTCATCTCATTTCCCCAAATTAGTCTTATCAGCTTATTGATAATGAATTCAGAAAAACAATTAACAAAAATGTAAGTTAAAAGATTTCATGGTGTCCAGAAAGCCTTTACAGTGCTTGCGTGACACATCTTGAATTAAAAATGCTAGGTTCTAGCATTTTTGTGCGGAATAACACTCTTAAGAAAATCTGTGTGCTCTTTGCTTTTTAATAATTGTTTAAGAATTGTTTCCGTCATCCCTCATAAGTATTTATCTACATTAGTCAGTTTAGTTTGTTACACCTCTGTTTTTCAGTTCCATTAAGATGCTAAGGATTCAGAAATGACACAAGACTGAATCTCTGACTGCAAGTGACACAGTATGGGATGAAGTTGAAGACCATGTCAATATAGAAACATTACTTCTGCATAGGCTGGTTTCATATCTTATAGGGGTGATTAAAAAATATATATCCTGGTAAATGGATAAATTCTTAAATTGATAAAGCAGAGGAACCATAGATAAGCTGTGTTAGTCTGGATATACTAAAGAAATCCATAGATACTCATATGTGTATAAGAAAGAGCTTTATATATAAGAGCAGTTGAATTTTGAGAAAACATCCCAGCCTAATCCATATCAAGTCCATAATAAGTCTGATATTAGCCCATAAGTCCAATACCAATCTATAAAGTCCTCTTCAGACTCACGAAATGCATACAATGATGCCGAATGCAGGAAGATCACAGGCCAGTTGGTGGAAGTCTTGTGGATCCAGTGGCATTGTAAGTATTTCAGCGCTGGCAGGGGTCTCCAGGTGATTTCTCTGGCTCCAGAGGTCTGGTTCCATCAGCCTCTTTCCATGTGTCTTCTCCACAGGGACGTCTTGCAGGGAGTGAGCAGAGAGAGAGAGAGAGAATCTTCTGCCTCTAAGTTAGAATACAGGAGTTCCCAGAATCCTCAGGAGAAGGCTATGCCCACATAGAGGCCTCATTGGCTATATTCTGATTGACAGGCTAGATTCCACCCCCTACACTTTTAATCCTCAAGTCAACACGAGATTATATACCTACCACACAAATATACTCTAGCATTGAAACCTTAAGATTGATCATTTTTTTATCGATACAACTCTTTGTGATATAGGGTAAAAATAATCTTTGATAAAATGGGAGTGTGCAGGTACCGCTATCAGTGGTACCCAGAAGAACTAGAATCCTGGTCCTAAATGTGAAGTGTTCTTATAGCATACCTGTTTCAAACGTTGTTAGCTTAGCAATGAGAGAACAGGTTCAGAGAAGTCAGAACAACTTGGCCTCATCCTGAAGAAACTGGGACTGGAATCCAATCTGCTTTTTACACCTCTCCAAATCTGCCTTCACTACGATTCTCACTCGCTGTGGCCCTAGGTGGGGTTCCTGAGGCTGTAAATCTTTTCCAGAGAAATATTGGCCTCATCTTTCTCCTGTGGAGCAGGTGATGGATTTGAACTGCTGTCCTTGGGGTTAGCAATCAGCTGTTATTCCATAGCACCACCAAGGCTCCTTGATTTAAAGACTGGTATCCTTTTAGCAATGTCTCATGTCTACGTTTCAAGCTAGTTTAGTTACCATCTGTTACTTACTTTCCCTTCGGTGTGAGAGCAAACAGATAAGCATGCCTTTAGTGTTCCTATGGGAGCCCTGGTAGCATAGTGGCTCACATGGTGAGCTGCTAACCATCAGGTGAGCAGTTTGAACTCACCAGCTGTTCTACAAAAGAAACACAAGGCCTAAAGATTTACAGGCTGGGAAGCTCCAAGGGACAGTTCTACCTTGTCCTTTAAAGTTGGAATGAGTCAGAATTGACCCCACAGAAGTTGGTCCGATGCTTTCGCTCAGTAACTTTAAGTGTACAATTGTTTGACCCGTGCCCAGGCATTTTCCTCATTCCCTTTTTATTCCAGACATGTTCTGAAAGATCTTTCCGTTTTCTCTATAGATAATCTTGGAACTGGCACGGTTATACCTGACACAAAATGACCTTGAGGCCTGCCTACGGCAGTGTACGCTGCTTCTGCAGAGCGACCAGGAAAATGAAGCCGCGGTCATGGTATGTCCACGAGAATTGAGGCTGCAGCCGCAGCGCTGCCCTTGTGTCCACCTGCATAGAGAGGCGGGGCTCCTTGTTGGCTTTTAGAATACTTCCGTGTTTTTAATAGCATCAGTGTCTTTTGGCAATAAAAATCAAAGAGTCATTAGCATTTTGTTTATAAGAATGAAACAAACTGAGTCCAGGCCTTTGCCTGTTTTTTTGTTTTGTTTCGTTTTGTTTTCAAAACAAGGCAAAATCCCCCCCAAAAAGTATTCACTCCCACTGAGTCACTTCCAAGACTGTGTGAGCATACAGCCTCCTCTCTTTCCTACAGAGCACCTGGTGGGTTTGAACTGCCATCCTGGTGGTTAGCAGCCCACTGCTTGCTTAATCCACAGTGCCACCAGAGCTCCTTGCCATTTTAGCTCTTGTCAACTTTCCTTTTTACCTGAGGGGGGCTTCATGTGACAGAAGCCTAAATTAAAAATTGCTGAAGACTAACTTACTCAGACATATTGGACCAATTTAAACTTTCAGTAGGACTATAGGATTCAGATTCCATGTGCCATTCTAAGACAGTGTGTCTGAATAAAGCGAGGTCGAGTCTTTCTTGCTCAACAATTTGTTACCTGTCCAAATAGGTATGGATTCCATGAGGTGGGGTTCATTCAAAATTGCTGGTGTAACTAAAGAGAGAAAGAAGTCTCTTTTTAAAACTAAAATCTCAGTAAGCATTCAATTCACTAGTAAAAATTTATGCTTTAAGAGATTTGACTTTGTTTTTGTTTTTAACCTTCTCCTATCAGTCATAGCCCAATCCAGTGAGGCATCTTTCTTATGGTAGTGCAAAGAGTGTGCAACTCACTTCTAAGTCCTGTTTTGAAAATGACCACTTGAATCACACTTTTTGGTAAACACGGTGTGATCTGTTTCACATCTTTGTTACGCCAGTTTCACAGCTGCTTTCCTCAGGGTGTATCTGAGCTTCACATGTTCGCAAAACCTTGCCCGCCCTGCTCCCCACGTTTTTCATATATAAAGGGGACTTTAAATGCTTATTGGAAAAACAGGATTAAAAGATGATAGAATTTTTCCATGACCTTTTTTGAAGCCCCCTTATATTTCCATAGCGCTACATCCTGATAGGAAGATACCGAACACCCAAGTCACTGCTGTCTAGTCCATTCTTCATTACAGCGACCCTGAAAGGACAGGGTACCACTGCCCCCTGTGTGCTTCTGAAACAAACTCTTGACAGGAGGAGAAAGCCCCTCTCCCTCCCATGGAGAGACGGATGGTTTCCCACTGCTGAGCTGGCAGTGGGCAGCCGCCGACACCACCACCATGGAGTGTGTCTCAAACCAGCTCTTACCTTACAGATGATGGCTGAGCTCATGTTCCGAAAACAGGACTATGAACAAGCAGTGTTTCATTTACAGCAGCTGTTAGAACACAGCCCAGGTAAGCGTTCACCATTTATCTTTGTAGTGTGGTCGGCGCCCTTTCTCCTTTATTTTTTGGCGGCTGTGTCCCGGAGAGAAGGCCCTATCTGAGTAGATCCATTCACTGGGCACCTGCACGTACCTGACTGGCCGCACTGTCAATTATGACCACAGCCCTCCAGCCAGGAGGCCCTCGGAGCAGCCTGGCAATCCTGATCTCTCTGCTGAATTTGCACTCTGACTACTTTTCACACTTCCTGCTCTCTCTTCAGTTTCCCAACCCTTCTTGTTAAAACCTGGCCCTTTTCGTCATGGAGAAACAGAGCAGCGTCAAGAACTTTCCCGTTTCCTCTCAATGAACCTAGCTGCCCAGCCTCTGCTCCTCACAGTCCCCGCCCATCTCTTCCAGCCCCTCCCCGTGCGCCGGAGACCACTGCTTTCCTACTTCACGGGCTTGCCCCAGCAGCTATTCTTTCCCTCCTCACATCCGTTTCTTCTTTTTTTTCCCCCATCCATTTCTTCTTAATCCTCCTAGAAAAAATGCTGTGTAATCTCACTTTGGATAAATCAATCAATTAAAAACAAAAACCCCAGCTCTTAAGTCTGCATCCTCCTGCAGGCCCTGCTCGCTCCATGTCTCTGTTCTCCTCGCGGTGAAGAAACTGCATGGCACAATTCCTTCACCTCATCTCCTGCAGGCACTCTCCGACCCCTGTGCTCTCGGAGGCTGCTTCTTCAGCGTGCCGCGGCCCTCCATGTTTCCAAATCCCGTGTTGGACCTGTCATCTTTATTGGATCCAATTTATTATTTCCCCCAAGAAAGGTGTTCTTCACTTCTCTTCTGGGTGCTAGCCTTGTCTGGGTTTGGGGTTTTGTCTGCCCTGTCATTTACTTTTGTCAGTCTCCTCTGTTAGCTCCACCTCTTATGTCCTTGAAAAACTGGCACGATGGAGGCCGCAGTTCCGCTTCTCTTCTTCCTATACATTCACCCCCCAGGGTGACTTCCTCCCAGCTCTCCGCCGTGGACGTGCTGATGGCAGCCACACGGCCGGCCGTCAGTCTTCCACACAGCATCGCTCACTTGCATTTGTACTCAGAAGTCCAGGAGGGTCTCAAAGTTCACATTTCCAAAATGAAACACTTGATCTTTTCCCTCCAAATTCCTTCTTCTGTTTCATCTTTGCCGGCCCTGTCAGGTAAACATTGGACTACTAACTGCAAGGTTGGTAGTTTAAATCCGCCAAGTGCTCCTTGGGAGAACGATGAGGCTAACTGCTCCCATAACTTTGCAGCCTCAGAAAACCTGTGCAGGGTTGCTGTGAGTTGCAGTGGATTCCATGACAATGGAATTGGGTTTTTAAGATTTGTTCTGTTTTGTCTTAATGTCTCATCTCAGTCGGTGAAACCACCATTCAGTCACTCCTTCAATCCCCAAACTTGCACGTGCTCTTGCTTCACCTTTCTCTCTACATCACATGCTGCCTCTAGCAAATCTCTGTAAGCACAAACCTACAGCTGTTTCAGGAACCCCGCCACTTTTTATCACCTCCCCTCTGTACCGCCAGGGAGGGGGAGGGGGAGGGGGAAAGGAAGGCAGGGAGTGGAGGCAGGATAGGGCAGGAGAAGAGGGGAGTGAAGAGGGGAAAGAGGAAGTTTTTCAAAGTACCAATGAGGACATCTCATTCATTTGTATCACTGAGGGCTTAACCCTGCAGGGGAAGTACAAAGTCCTTTCGCTAATCTAGACCCAGTGCCTTCATGTTGGGCTGAAAGCACTGGCAGGGTGTTCTGGCTGCTGGGTGCAGCTGTGGGGACACAGCTGGCTGTACTTCAAGCAGGCAATTCAAAGAACAAAATGTGCTCTTGTGCTATGTCTACCGATGCTTTTACTAATAGGTTTCAATTTAGAGAACAGCACTTTCTACTATAGTAGTAAGATGACTCTTGCAATTTTATTTTCTTTAATTATTATTATATTTTTTAATTTTCTCCCAACTTTGGGCTGTGTCAGGCCATTCTGTTGTGTCTTTTTCATTTGGTTCTAGCGTCTATAAAGACGTTAAATGAGCACTGTCAGTTACTTTACCATCTTAACCTCTTCACTCAGAATCGAAAATATGGACACTTCTGCACACTCCCCCTTGCCAAAGCCTTCCTAGCTGAGTGTTTTAATTTTTGGTGAAAGTCTCCAGAGCCAGGTCGGTCTTCTCCTGGCACTTTGCACACACATGGTTCAGTGACAGTCCATGCCCTTATTGCATGTGCCACCCACCGCCTCTTAGTTGTCTTCTGTTTGGTCCCTTTCCAGTTCTCTGGTTTGCCTGGCCCCTTATCTTCTCATCTTTGCTTTGGAGTAATTCTTGATACTTGGATCTTATACCCATGATTCTCATGGGCCAGCGATCTTTTCAGTAATGCCCATATTTTGTGAGCCACTCTGCTATTTCCCTCAAAGGTGATCTTAGGGTCTATAAGCTTACATCTAGGCTTAAGTTGCCTCATGGGAAGTGTCAGTTCATACTGTTCCAGTTTCTTTTTTAAAGTAAGGATTTGAGTTCTGCTTCATATTTTTCTCCTGTCCCATCAGGGACCATCTGTTGTGTCCCCGGCCAGCACGGTCTTTGTGGTAGCCGGGCACCATCTTGTTTTTCTGCCCTCAAGGAAGATGGGCATGTGGCTCACATGGATGTGTTTGTTCTCTGAACTCCCGGCCTCTTGTTGACGTTCCTCAGACCTGCATCGTGTTTCTCAGCGTTGCTACCTTGAGCCCCAGACTGTTTTTCCTTCCCTGAGCTGCCATGAAAGGTGATACACATAATGTTTTCAGCCTATCCCAAGTTGTTCCTGTTTCACAGCTTGTCCTTCCAAATGAATAAGCAGGCCTGTTGTTTTAAAATAACAAACAAAAAGACCTCTTTCTTGTAAATACTGTTAAAACCATTGACATCATTCTCAACTATCCTCAGACACCATCGTTGTAAGATTTGAAGAATCCTTGATGTGTCATATAAATTTCATCTCTTCCTTGGCATCTGCTACTTGGTGTATGTGGGTTTTTTTGTTTTTTCAAATTAGGACCAATAAAACTGGCTTAGTTGACTGGCTACTTTGGAATGCATACTTATCAACAAAATATAGAATAAGTTATTCAGAAATTCAGTATGATGCCTTTTCACTTCAGTCAAGCCAAATTACTTACAACCTCTAAGTTTTTATGCCCCCACGCTTTGGCCTATAATGAACTTTCCCCTTCTTATAGTTCCTCCCTGTCTTTCCCAACACGTAACTCAAAATATCCACTCCTCTTTAAAAAAATAAACCACTCCAACCCTACTGCCATCATGCCCATTGTTAACTGCCTTATCTGATTCCAGTAGGGCAGCAGGGTGGTGGTTTGTCTAGCACTCAGAGGTTTTCTGGGGACGGGGCCTTCACGACTAAGGGAACGAAAGTCCCAGGCAGATGGGGATGATCTTGCAGCCATAATCCTGAGTCATTGCATACAGTACTTCCTTGCCCTTCTTATTTTGCATAAAACTGCAGAGTTCTCACATCCTGGGATCATATCAGATTCCTCCCACATCCCCCCCAGCATCGGACACCATGGCAGACATTGTTATTGTTATTATTATTATTATTACATGGGCCAGTTGAATGAGTTTGAAATACCAAACTCATTAAACATTTCAAGGCAGTTTTTAGTTTTCATGTTTTTAACCTTGTTGGTTTTTGCCTCATTCCTTAGAGGAGTTTGCAAACTCATGTACCGCTGTATTTTCTCAGACGTGCTCCAGAACTGAGCTCACCCTTACTTGATGTGCGTTACTAGTCACCCGCCAGGAGCACACCCTTCTCTTCGCATGAAGACTCTGCCGTAGCTCACCTAGCAATGCACTGTCCAACTGAATTTAACGTCCTTAATTGAAAATCCTCCTTTTAGATTTAATTGCTACTCTTGTGAAAAATTATGCCCTTTCACTCTCCAGATCTCCAAACCCTCTTCAGTTTCCCTCTGCCACACTAATTGGTTAACAAGTCCAATCAGTCCCGGGTAACCAACTCTCTCATTCACTCCGCATCCTATCCCACTGCTCTAATTAGGGCCTTAGCCCCACTCATCTGGAGGAACTCGGAGTTTCCCTGCTAATCATCTGGCCTTAGGCTCCTGCTGCTCCCGGCCCTTGTGGGACTATTGTAATGACTCTCAAACTCAAGAAAAAAAGTGTCCATACTGAAAAATTAAAGATGAAATCCTAGCATTATTTTAATAATAGCATGCCCCTAATTATTCTTCCGTTCATGTTTCTTGTCTGTTGTCTTGCACCGTAATCTCTAATAATATCAAAGTCATCAGTACCCATCCTCCCCTGCCTCAATGATTCCACAGGCCATCTGCTACTTGGAATCCCTTTGGAGGTACACTTAAAACATGTCCAGGGTCTACTCTCCCTGGAGACACCCTCACTGCCTTCAAGTCACCTCTGACTCCTCGTGACCCACTGTGACAGAGCAGAAGGGTGCCATGGGTTTTCTGAAGCGAAATCTCTAGAGCAGAGAGCTTCCCACACAGCGACTGCTGGGAGGGTTCAACCCCCCAACCTTCGGATGAGTGTCCTCTGCTTTCTCCTTAGCTACAGTAAATTGGAAAGGGGGGGTCTCAGAGGTAGATAGTGACTAACCTCCTTCAATCCAGTTAAAATGTTCTAGGTAGAAGCTCTTACCTAGGCAGAGACTCTTTCTAGGTTTGGGTCTCGGGAATCATTAAAAAGTGAGTAACAGCAAAGAGGTATATTTCTCTTGTTTTATAGATTTGCCTATGTAGACCAGCCCAGCTCCAGCCACATCATTACTTCATCAGAGGGAGGATAGTCTCTCTGGGGAGTTTGAACCCCAAGAGGCTTTTCTTTGCTTGTCTTTTACTTTACTTCATTGTAAATAAATTATACTTTAATGGGTTGATAGCCATCCAACTAAAAGTTATAAAATGCCATATGTGAAGTATTCTCTGTTTCTAGATAATTACGTGTCACTATCTCGTTTAATTGATCTCCTAAGAAGATGTGGAAAACTTGAAGAAGTTCCAAGACTCTTCATAATGGCTGAGAAGCATAACACTAGAGCAAAATTTGAATCCGGATTCTACTACTGTAAAGGACTATATCACTGGTAACTGTATTGACAAATATAAATCCGTCATATTCATTATGGATAAAGTAGAATAAACTGTTTTGTATTCAGAAACATCTAATGTTAAATATCCTCCTAGTTGTGTTTACCATATAGATTATAAATTAAAGTTTGTAATCAGTAATTAAAATAAGTTATTTTATTTATGTATTTATTTTTGACATCTAACTAGGTATACTGGAGAACCAAATGATGCCATTCGACATTTTAATAAAGCTCGTAAAGATAGAGAATGGGGCCAAAATGCCCTTTACAACATGATAGAAATCTGTTTGAATCCAGATAATGAAACCATTGGAGGTGAAGTGTTTGAAAATCTGGATGGAGACCTGGGGTGCGTAGTGCCCAACCCATTAATCGTGTGTGTGTGTGTGTGTGTGTGTGTGTGTGTGTGTGTGTGTGTGTGTGTGTGTTGTGTATTTGGAAAACTTGTTAGGCTTAAAAAGTAGGGATACTTTACAAAAGATAACTGAATTCTGGTATTACACTCATGGAAGTTTAGGTGAATTAATCTTCGCTGATAAAACTGTTCTCAGAACAAAATCATACCAATGTGAATGGGGTTGGGGGGCAATGGAGTAGAGACCCAAAGCCCATCTGTAGACAATTGGACATCCCCTTACATAGAAGGGCCACAAGGAAGAGATGAGCCAGTCAGGGTGCAGTATAGCACCGATGAAACATACAGCTTTCCTCTAGTTCTTAATGCTTCCTCCCCTCCCCGTTCCCCCCCTTACCACTGTCGTGACCACAGTGCTACCTTACACATCTGGCTAGACCAGAGCTTGTACATGGTACAGATAAGAGCTGGAAACACAGGGAATCCAGGACAGATAAATGCCTCAGTACCCATATTGAGCATAGCAATACCAGGAAGGAATAGGGAAGGTGGGGGGAGAAAGGGAGAACCAATCACAGTGAACTACATATAACCCCCTCATAGGGGGCAGACAACAGAAAAGTGGGTGAAGGGAGACATCAGTCAGTGTGAGACGTGAAAAAATAATTTATAAATTATCAAGGGTTCATGAGGGAGGGAGGGTGGGAGAGAGAGGGGAAAAATGAGAAGCTGATACCAAGGACTGAAGTAGAAAGAAAATGTTTGAAAATGATGATGGCAACAAATGTACAAATGTGCTGGATGTATGGATTTTGATAAGCCCCCAATAAAATAATTTTAAAAATTAATCAAAAATAAAATTTTTCTTTTAAAAATTATTTTATTGAGGGCTCGTACATTTCTTTTCACAGTCCATACATACATCCATTGAGTCAAGCACCTATGTACACCTGTTGCCCTCATCAATCTCAAAACATTTGCCCTCTACTTTAGCCCTCAATATCATTTGCTCATTTTCCCCCTCCCTTCCCCCGCCCCCCTCACTCCTGAACCCTTCATAATTCATAAATTATTATAGATTTGTCATAAGTTACCCTGTCCAACGTCTCCCTCCGCCCTCTTCTCTCCTGTCCATTCCCCAGGGAGGAGGCTATACTTAGATTCTTGTAATTGGTTCCCCCCTTCTACCCCGCATTCCCTTCACCCTCCAGGCCTCGCCCCTCTCACCACTGGTCCTGAAGAAGTCATCTATCCTGGATTCCCTGTGTTTCAAGTTGCTATCTGTACAATGTACATCCTCTGGTCTAGCCAGATTTGCAAGGCAGAATTGGGATCATGATATTGGGGGGGAGGAAGCTTTAAAGAACTAGAGGAAAGTTATATGTTTCATCGTTGCTACCCTGCACCCTGATTAGCTCATCTCCTCCCCAAAACCCCTCAGCAGTGGGGTGTTCTGTTGCCAACCGATGGACTCTGAGTCTCCACTCTGCACTCACCCACCTTTACAATGACATGATTTCTTGTTCCTTAATGCCTGACACCCAATCCCTTCAACCGCTCGTGGTCACACATACTGGTGTGCTTCTTCCATGTGGGCTTTGTTGCTTCTGAGCTAGTTGGCCGCTTGTTTATCTTCCAGCCTTTAAGACCCCAGATGCTATATCTTTTGATAGCCAGGCACCATCAGCTTTCTTCACCACCTTTGCTTATGCACACCTTTGTTTTCAGTGATCGTATCAGGAAGGTGGGCACCCACTGATCTGATTTTTAGTTCTATATTAACTGAATTACTACATCACTTCCTGTAGATATTGTCTGATTTTTAAAATTCATTTTAGGGTAAATTAATGTTAACTTGTGTTTCATTGAGACTAGATTTATTTTGTTTAAAAAAAAACACAGTGACAGCATTTCAGTTTATTAGGAGATAATTTAGACATTCTTCCAACAGGATTAATTCTAAATAAGACATCCATATGCTTTAGAACACTTAATTCTCATCTCGATGTGTACTTCTGAGTAGCAAACAAGAGGTCTCCTTTCAATTGTATACAGCAGTTCGACTGAGAAGCAAGAGTCTGTGCAGTTAGCAGTGAGAACAGCAGAAAAACTCAAAAAAGAGCTGAAACCTCAGACCGCTCAGGGTCACACCCAGCTTCGCATTATGGAAAACTATTGCCTCGTGGCTTCCAAACAGAAATCGAATGTTGAGCAAGCACTAACTACCTTCGCCGAAATAGCAACGTCTGAGGTTAGTAGATTTTCTTTTCAATTTAGTGTATTTACCTTCCATGGTAGTATTCTAATATGTAGCGTGATCAACTGTGTATTTCCTGAAAATAACCTTAATCATTTTTATTAAACATTTTTAAATAAAAATTAGATATATGGCTTTGACATAGTCTGATACAGTGTACCTTTGTTTCCAGAAGAGATACTGTTACTGTTTTGATACTTTTTAAATATACTTTTAAAATCTCTTTTGGATTGCAGAATTCTAGAGAAGGAAATTATTCTGAAAAGTATAGTAAGTTAACTCTCAAAGGAACTGCTTTATCCTCTGGAGACTTTGCGTGTTGTGGATACGTCGTCGTCGTCGTTGTTGTTGTTGTTGTTGTTGTTAGGTGCCACAGAGTCACCTCTGACCCAGAGCAACCCTAGGCCCAACGAAACGAACACGCCGGGTCTTGAGCCACCTTCCCAATTGTCCCGATGCCGGAGCCCGTTTTTGCAGCCACAGCACCAATCCGTCTCATTTTCTGCTGCCCCTCCAGTTTCTTTTTTTTTTCTTTTTTCATTTTATTATGTCTTTGTTTTGTTTTTAAATCATTTTATTAGGGGCTCATACAACTCTTATCCCCATCCGTACACACATCAATTGTGTAAAGTGCATTTGTACATTCATTGCCCTCATCATTCTCAAAACATTTCCTCTCCACTTAA